CAATAGACAGGAATGTACAGGAATTCGTTGAGACAGGCACAAACTTGCTATCTGTAGTAGATACATCGCTTAGGCGGTGAAAAATGGCTTTCTCTCGAAGCCGCTCCGAGCGCGCGTTTATACCTGTTTTTCGGCCGACGCACTCTCTCGCTTAATACGCTATAACTCGTAAAATAAATTAGATATGAAAATATCCTTTTGCCTACACATTTTTAAGACCCAAAGAATGAAAATAAAGCAACAAAAAAAATTTTTTTTTGGTCGATTTTGACTAGAACTTTCCCTTAAAATAGACTCGTAATTGTTCGCGTAGTGAACTAAGAACACTATGAGCGCTATGAGCGTTCGGCGCTTCACTTCGAAAATGATAGCGAAAAACAGCGTGAGTGATGACGTCACACTACTTTTACAGTGACGTCATTATCGACTTTATAGCGACAAAAAGCGTCTCCTCGAATAGTCATAGCGCTCATAACTCATAACTTTAATAGCGTGACGTCATCACTCGCGCTATCTTTCGCTATCATTTTCGACGTGGGGCACCGAACGCAGCCAAAGTTTCCAATATAACAATTTGATCACTGGGTAAACAGTAAAGTGTTATAATGATTAACATTATTTACCTGTTTCCTTGGCAAATTGATAATACTTCTCTTTCCTTTGCTTCCCAATGTCTAGTGTGTCTTACACTCTATGCACAATGCCAGGCAACAAGAGGTTTCTTCTCAACTGAATCAGTGCTGCGTTGGAACTGCACTGATTCGGAACTGATACTGAGTTTTTACCTGTAGCAATCGAATTTCCATTTGGAATGACATAATCGCAGTGATGTAAATTGTCTAGAGAGAAAGTTCCCTAGGCTAATCGTATTACCACATTGTGTCCATAATGGCTCCTGCACACAGTACACGGTTATGCTTGCCGCGCAGCGGAAGTTCGCGCGACAGCCAATCAATATGCTGCTTTCCGTAATAACCTTCTAGCTCTTACGGAAAAACAACATATTGATTGGCTGTCGCGCGAACTTCCGCCGCGCGGCAAGCATTACCGCGTACTGTGTGCAGGAGCCATTATGGACACGATGTGGTAATCCGATTAGCCTAGGGAACTTTCTCTCTAGACAATTTACATCACTGCGATTATATCATTCCGAATGGAAATTCGATTGCTACAGGTAAAAACCCAGGACCAATTCCGAATCAGTGCAGTTCCAACGCAGCACTGATTCAGTTGAGAAGAAACCTCTTGTTGCCTGGCATTGTGCATAGAGTGTAAGACACACTAGACATTGGGAAGCAAAGGAAAGAGAAGTATTATCAATTTGCCAAGAAAACAGGTAAATAATGTTAATCATTATAATACTTTACTGTTTACCCAGTGATCAAATTGTTATATTGGAGACTTTGGCTGCGTTCGGATAGTTCGCTGTCGCGCTACGAGACGTTAACGCTATAAACACCATTCGGGGAGTCAATAGCGTGATAGCGTTAGTGTGCTATCCGAACGCGGTGCGTTAATAACGATAGCGTTCGGAGAACTTGTTGACACACTGGCTGCGTTCGCTTTGAGCGCTTACGCGCTGTAAGCGTCATTCTTTCTTTATCGCTCATGCGGGAAGAAGATAGAATGACGCTTACAGCGCATAAGCGCCCAAAGCGAACGCAGCCAGTGTGTCAACAAGCTTTCCACTATGAGACGCTAATGCTCATTTGCGATAGCAAGTTTAATATGAATGGAGGAAATATTTATTTCCGTTGCAACAAGCTATAATTAAAAATGATATTTTTGCAATTTTACGGGAGCATGTTAACTTCTCGTCGTTAGAAAGTGATGACGATAAAGTGGAATATGCTATGCATGTGGTGGACACACAGATGTCTATAATCAACTAAATTACTATCACATCATCATTGCATATAGCATGGTTTGCGTCCGATAGAGTTTCGGTATATGCGAGAAAATGGCCGTTACCACCACATATTTTCACTACGTTTAGTCATAAAATTCTTTTTTTGGAAATGAGAAGAGCGAATAACGTCCAATATAATCTATTTTTTGTTGCGACAATTTTTGATGCAATAAGATGCTAGCATTTTTTATCTAACGACAATAATTTAATGGCCACGCTGACTCATATTGTACGTTGTAAGATACATAAGTGACACACACACAGGACCGCCGCCATTTTCTCACAAACAACCGAAAATCTCATGCGACGCAAATCCGCAAGCCTTAATTAACAATCTAGTTTAGTATAGACATCTGTGGGTGGGTAGCATATAATATAAGCGGAAATACACATAACACATATATACTTTCACAATTCAACGAGACGAAAACATAAGGTCTGTTTAAAATATACATAATTATTTGCGTAGCGAACTAAGAATGCTATGAGCGCTATGAGCATTCGGTGCCCCACGTCGAAAATGATAGCGAAAGATAGCGCGAGTGATGACGTCACGCTATTAGAGTTATGAGCGCTATGACTATTCGAGGAGACGCTTTTTGTCGCTGTAAAGTCGATAATGACGTCACTGTAAAAGTAGTGTGACGTCATCACTCACGCTGTTTTTTGCTATCATTTTCGAGGTGAAGCGCCGAACGCTCATAGCGCTCATAGTGTTCTTAGTTCACTACGCGAACAATTACGAGTCTATTTTAAACAGAGTTTATGTTTTCGTTCCGTTGAATTGTTGAAAGTATACATGTGTTATATGCATTTCCGCTTATATTATATACTGTTGGCCACGTGCATAGCATGTTCCACTTCATCGTCATCATTTTCTGACGACGAAAATTTTCTGACGTCAACAAGTTTCCGTAAAATTGCAACAATACCATTCTAAATTATAGCTTGTTGCTACCGAGATCAATATTTTCTCAAATCATATTAAACTTGCAATCGCAATAGGTCATTAGCGTCTTACAGTGTGTCAACGAGCCCACCCCAGGTAGCAAGGTGACGACTAAAGATGTCATTAAGACGTCATTAAGACGTCTATGACGTTTTAATGACATCTTAATGACGTCTTTAGACGTTACCTTGCTACCTGGGACTGAACGCTATCGC